ATCAAGATAAATGCTTTGAGAGAATTATTTGGCAGTCTGCATCAAAACCACATAACTGTACTGATTCCTATTTACCTTTCCAGGAAGAACTGTAAAGAACTATGGATGTGAAAATAATTGTGTCTAAGAATGTTAGTTGTAACATGATAGATGACAATAGGGAAAGGAACAATGTGCCAGGTGTGGTGGCACATGCCTTTAGTCCCAGCACTCGGGAGGCGGAGGCAGGCAGATCTATGTGAGCTCAAGGCCAGTCTGGCCTACATAGTGAGTTCCAGGCCAGCTGGGGCTACAGGGAGACCATGTCTCAAAAAGACAAATAAACTAAAAAAAATTAGGAATAATGCAAATGTCCAAGACTAGGGATGAGGCTGATTTGCTTTTTTCAAATAAATTATATATCTGTAATTTAGTATTTTATAGACACATAAGTTATCTACGCTATATGACATATATATCTGATATATATGGTATTCTGTAGCCATTAACACTGTGGCATGTTAATTATGTAGCATGACAATATAGCAAATATGTAGCAAACATTCTTAAAACTATGATGTTTTGAAATATATGTATGTACTATGGAAACCTATGACAGACTTTTAAGGGGTCTTGTAGTTTTTTTCTTTCTTTTTTTCTTTTTTTTTTGACAGGGTCTCCCTAGTCCCCAGCCTGCCTGGAAGTCACTATGTGGACCAGACTAGCCTCAATCTCACAGACATCTGCCTACCTCTACCTCCCAAGGGCTGAGATTAAAGGCACAAGACACTACGTCCAGTGTTCTTTTTTTAATGGCCCTAGCTGGCGTAGCCCAGGCCGCCTCTGACCCCCAAGTGCTCCAATTAAAAGTGTGCACTTCATGTCCAGCCTATAAAGTTTTTAATTATTAGTGACTCATTGATTTGTCTTTCAAATTTGAAACTACTTAGAAATCCTTTTCTTTTTGCTGATTCAACAGTCTGCTATTTGTAGAGCAAGGCAGTGTACCATACTATCTCCCTTCTTTTATAGGGCAAATTTCAAGTAGAATGTGCTTGTCCATACACATTTTGATTTTGTCCACAGAATCCCATGAGGCAGGATATGTATTCATTTTCTCTGAGAAAATGGGAGTCTTCAGGATAAGTGGACTCATGTACCAGGCACCTTAGCATGGTTAGTCAGGACAAGAATTTTAGTTATTTTCCCCTAAACTTTTTCAGCATCTCCCTGGGTTATGGGTGGGCTACAAAGACACATACACAGCACAAATGCACAGAACACCATATGCATCATATTCTAAGTCAATGAAATCTCTGTAAACCATAGTGAGTGAATACACATAGTGGATGGGCACCTTGTATAAATCCTTCAGGCCACTGCACTTCAATCCGTGCCTACCATTTTTTTCAGCTACCAGGGTGTACAGCTATTTCATTTTTCTTTTCTTTTTTCGTGAGTCTCATGTAGCCTGGGAGCTCTTTTCTTGATCATAAGCCAGCAAAGGCTGCTCTGTTCAATGGAACAGCTACCATTCTCCCCAAAGTAACTTCTGATCTACTTCATGTGGAATATTTCTGAATTGTGTGTTCCACAATGCTTCCCAGAGCTGTACCAAAGGAGTAAGGTTCCAGTAGCCTACCGTGTTAGGCAGCCTAACATCCTCTACAGACACACTCCTTTTCCAGCCTTCCTGAGGTGCTGCTGCTGCTGCTACTACTACACCCCACACCTCCCAAATAAACTACACACTCTGAATCCTTAACTCAGGTCACATCTCTAAGGGAACTGAAAAGGACACTGTGCATGATACCCCCATGTTTAATGCACACTTGGTTACCTGAAATGTGTTCTTGATGTCATAAACAGAATTGCTTCAATTATGATCCCCCCAATATGGACATTTTTGTACTTTTTTCATATTGTCTGCTAATAAAAGGCAAATTATTCAACTGCTTTTAGTTAGAAAATAGACAATTCTTTCATTTGCTAGTATATCTAGTCTTTATTAAGTGCCCAGTATTACACAATTATGGAACTCCTGATTGTGAAGAGAGATTTGCATAATTCACATTGCAATTATAATACAGAGGGTAAAACAGTAGGAAAGGGACTAGGACTGAATTCTTTATGATTGAATAATAATAAAAAATATAACTTATGAGTAGAAAGAATTTTGCAAAATTTTATAAGCATAATGAAATACAGCCTAATTAATATGCATATAACTTTCAAGGGACTATAATGGATATGTGTGACATAGTACACAGATACTGTATGATGGTCACACTTCAAGTTGATGTCTGTATTCATGTAACAGTATGGCACATATACATAGATATGTAAACTTAATATGCCTCAAATGCAAACTTTACTACCTAGGTAGGAAGAACAAACCTGGTCAGCACACTCAAAGGAAGGAGAGATGAAACTATACTGAAAGCCTGTTAACAATGTTTCATTAGCTTACTCAGAAAGGCCTATCTGCTCAGGTTTTCATTAGAGAACTGACTGGCACATTCTAGCAAACAGTGAACAACTTGGGAATTTAAGATATACCATTAAAAACAGGGCTTTTATATTGGTTCCCCAACTGACAGTAAAACATTGTCCTAGTTATATTCTGTTGCTGTGATGAACATCATGACCAAAAGCACCTCTGAGGAGGAAAGGGCTTGCAGGTAACAGCCCATCATTGATGGCAGCCAAGGCTGGGATTCAAGGCAGGAATCTGGAGGCAGGAACTGAAGGATGGAGGAATACAGCTTATTGGTTTGCTTCCCCTAGTTTGCTCAGTGACCCTTCTTACATAGCCCAGACCCACTTGCTCAGGAACGGTGGGTTGGGCCCTCCTATATTAATTAGCAATCAAGAAAATGCCCCACAGGTCAATCTGATGGAGGAAATTCCTCAACTGAAGGTCCCTCTTCCCAGGTGTGTCAAGTTAATAACCATGATTAGTCATTACAAGTCCACCACTTGTCAACTTCACACAAACACACCACTGTGGTTTAACATAACCTAGCCTTTCTTTGTCCCTAAGATGTTAAGATTAGCATCACAATATAAAACACATTCCAACTTTAAAAGCCCCACAATCTTTAATTTTTCAATCCTTTATTAAAGATCCAAGATGGTTTTAAAATTCCTGTCTCTCCACTGGTGGGTTCTTGTAAAATTAAAAATAAATTACATACTTTCTTATTCTAAGAGCCATTACAATCAGATCAAAGCAAAATTGTAATCCAACAGTATAAGTAGATCAGTGTCCAGTGTTTTGGGTTACACAATGATCTTCTGAATTCCAAAGGGTTTCAATAGTCCCACCTCTCTGTCTCTGCCATCCACATAGCACACACAGCTTACCTCACAGGCTCAGGCTGTCTCCACGCCACACTTGCTGCTGTCCTTGGTGGTGATCTCAAGGTCCTGGCATCTCTAATATTCTGGGGTCTCCAATGCAACTAAGGCTGCACTTTCACCAATGGCTTCTCTTGGCCTCTCACAGTGCTAACTTTCAGCTTCTCTCCACGACATCTTCAACCCTGGGGACTCTAACTACAACTGAGGCTGCACCTTCATCAATGGCTTGTCTTGGCTTCTCATAGTGCCAACCCTCAGCTATTCTCCATAACCCCTTCAATCCTGCAACTTTCATGCCACCAAAACCAACTACAAGGGAGACTTTTACATACCAAGTATAGCTTTTAGCTTGAGATGCAGCACTGGCCACCTCTGGATCACAGCTTATGTGTGCTGACCCTGAGGAAATACTTTCAGATTTCACCTCAATAATGCTGATGTCTTATCAGAGCTCATTCTTCAGCCCAGCTAAACAGCATTGTCCCAGGAGAGGTTTACTTCCAGATTCTTATTTCAAATCTCACACAAAATACCTTAACAGAGTTTTTATTTCCCTCTGAAACTTCACAAGCCCCTCTCCACCATCTGCATTTCTCTCAGCATCAATCCAAGCTCTCACAGCCAACAGCTCACTGAGCTCTTGGCACTCAAGGACTTATATAGTCCAAAGTTTCAAATGTTTCCACAAATCCCACATCCCCATTCACCAAACCAAACAAAAACTAGGTCCATCACAGTAATACTTTATGTTCCCGGTACCAACTTCTGTTCTAGTTTTTCTGTTGCTGTGATAAGAAGCATGACCCTTAAAAGGGACGGGAGGGTTTATTTGGCTTATAGGTAACAGTCCATCATTGAGAGTAGCTAAGGCAGGAACCTGGAGGTAGGAACTGAAGTAGAAACCATGGAGGAATGTTGCTTACTGGCTTGTTTCCACTGGCTTGCTCAGCTACCCTTCTTCATCAGTCCAGGCCCACCTCTTAGGGACTTAGGGATGGCACTGCCCACAGTGGTTTAGGCACTCCTAACAATTAGCAATCAAGAAAATGCCCTACAGACATGCTTACAGGCCATTCTGATGGAGGAAATTCCTCAAGTGAAGTTCCCTCTTTGCATATGTCAAGTCGACAACCAAGATTAGCCATCATAACCATCAACATTGAATTATATCTTTCTTACCCATTAGCTCTCAAAAGATCACATTGGTCAGTAGTTCTGAATTTTTTTTTAATCTTCTATAGAGAAATACATTTTACCCATAAAGCTAGTGAGAACCTCCACCTCCTAATGAAAACAGCTGCTACTACTGCAAACACTGGCTAATGCTTTTTGATAACGGATGAACTTTCAGGAAAAACAAAATAAAACTCCTTTTAGTTAAAGTGAACTTCATTTGTATTACAAGACACATAAGACCAAGAATATTTGAGAATGTGTTCCTAAAATAGTATGAAATGACTTTATGATGCTTTATGAATTCCAAAACACCCATATTATATATATAACATTATGCTTAAAATAAACACCTGGTCAGTTAAAACTTTTAGTGAATACTAAAAAGTTTAATAAATTTGTTCTATTAGATAGCTTTTAATATTAAAGTAAAAGTTGAAATGTATGAAAAGAGAATAAATGGAAAAAAATCATCACACCAAACAAACTGTAGAAAAATCAAACAGTTTTAATTTGTGGCACCTTATAATTCTGTGTTGTATTTGGCTATTTCTAAGGCCATTCGTAGAGTTATAATGCAAAGTAACAGCAAATAAAGTATAAAAATAAAGTGAAACAGTGGATTATACATATAATTAATGGATCCAGACATTAATTATAAGGAGACAAAAGACAAAGCATCCCGTTTATCTCAACCATTCATATAAACTAGCATAGTGGCTACATATTCATGTTATGGCTTGGACCTCTTGTCCCTCCTTAGAAAAGTTCACCCATAGAGGGTAGTTGAAAGACTCCTTTCTTCAGGGAAAGCTGTACATTAAGCAACTACACAGTTCCATCTGAATGGAAAGAAATGCCGTACTTTCCCTTCAACTATTGGATAAAAATACCAGTACTGACTTTTCTAGCTCAAAATGAACTCAAAGTCTGTTGACAGTTCCCATCTAGCTTTAAAGGTTACTTCATTGTCACCTAACTTCCAGGCAGGGCAGCAACTGGACATACTTTTTTCAATTTTTTTCTTAGTTCACTATTTACAATTATATCTCTCATGTGAGGAAAAGTAAAAATTCAATGCAGGAGATTAATAATTGTTCACAAAGACTAGCATCATATGATAGTAAGGCACATAAATAGTGCACCTGTCATGGCAAGACCAGACAGCACCTCTCAGGAGCACATACAGCAACACATGTGGATTATCACAATTGGATACTGATACTTCCATTTCCACTTCCATCTTCCAGGCCCTCTGTAGCCTGAGAGGAGGCAAGGAGACTTCTGGGGCAAGGGTGACTGCTGAGTCCCACTGTTATGCTGAGACAGTGACCTGTCTGGGACACTGCACCATCAGATTCCCAGCACTCCAACTTTTCCTGCACCAGCCATTCCATGTGTTCCCTGTGCATCTCACTGTTACCACACTGTTTGTCATTCTGACAAGGGAAAAAAAAAACAAAAAAAAAAAAACAAGAGGTTATTAGCAAGGTGATACATACTCTCGTACATAGAAGTTGCCTTAGGAAATGTGGGACCAAATCATGTTTGTGGTCAGTAAAGATTGGAGAGACAGAAAATAATAGCAATCCTTATAATTACTGGAGTAAACACTCACTTAATGGCCCCTCTAAGCAACAGCAGGATAATAAGGGTGTGGGATATTAAGAGCCATGCCTCCACATTATGAAGTAGTTTGCAGTTATAGAAGAAGACAAGCATTTCTAAGTAAAGATTACAGACTGTAACTACCATGATGCTTTATAGAACCAAAGTAGGTTTCACTTTCAGAGATTTAAAACAAATTTCACAATGAAAGTGAATGAAAACATTGTGACTGTTTGTAAAAGCATTTTTAAAAAGAAATTCATTCTTTTTCAGTATTTCTAAAGAAAACTGTCACCAGCATATGTACATAAAAACATCTTGTTCACCACTGAGCAGTTTTTACACCTATGGCCATGCTCTCTAGCAGTTCCCCATACCTAATGTCTCTTCAGTTTGGCCAGTTCTGTGATCTCTAACTTTATGATCACCACTTAGGTCTGGGACACCATGCTGCCTGCTCCATGTGGTCCATTTACTCTTGTCACCAGGCTGCAGGAAACCGCAGTTCATTTCTTAAACCCTATTATCTTTAGGCAAGGAAAACAGCAACATTTATTTTTCTCTTAAACAGCATGATCTGAAACACTTTCTAAGTGGTTTCAAGTTGTATAGACAAGACTGTCATGGGTTGGTCATCCAAGGAATAATGGTCTAAATTTTTCCAGGGAACACTGCATTGGAAGACCTTAAATGTACACCCATCCTGGATAAAGTTTAATATAGGAATCCTGTACAAGGACCAGCATTCTGCAGACTCTTAATCTCTACATTTTGGCCATTTGTGACCTTTTGTGTTACTGGCCCTCTGTTGCATGAGGGAACTTCATTAATGAGAACTGAGAGATTCATTAGTGTCCTCTTCTTTACCCCTGTCTATGTTCTGTGCACCTACACTGCAGAGGTTGCACTGCAGATGTGTTGCTTAGGCTTGGGCAATTCACAGACAATGTCTGTGTGTGACCAGTTGTGGTACTTGGTAATAGTCTCTGACTGGTACAAAATAAGCTTCTTTGATGAGTGGTGACTGGGATATTTGTCTGTAAATATAAGGATACATATTTTGAACATAGTAAGAAATTACATTAGTCTAGGAATGTGACAGTGTCGAGGTTTTCTCTAAGATCTATGACACCCTCTTTATTTCTTAACTTACTTGAAAAAGATTTACATAAGATCTGTTGGGTTGGATTATAGAAATGTAATATATTTGACAATATTTAGCCATAGGAAATAGGAGAAAAGTTAGAGTAAGGAATGAGAGCAAATGGTATCTTGAATCCATAGAACAAATGACAAGAATCAGATATGGTAAATAAGATTAATATAGAAAATGCTATAAATATATACTTTTAACTTTGTCTTGTTAATGGACATAAAATATACAGTGATAATCATAAGCATAACACCGGACATATGTTTATGTATATATACATACATATATATGAGGAAGGGCAAAAGCGAGAGGAACTGTAACCAAAAGAAGATCAGAAAGAGCTATATAGGAATAACACTTCAATATGTCATAGTACTAAGTAAATATAAAACTAAAGTGGTTTCATTAGTTAACTACGTTAAGGTCTTAAAGTGATCACTAAGAAAACAGCTAAAAATATAGTTGTTATGGTTTGAATGAGAAATGTCCCCCACAGTTCATGTATTTGAACACCTAGTCCTCCAATAGTAGTGCTGTTTGTGAAAGTACTGGAACCTTTAGAGAGTGGAGCCTAGTTGAAGGCAGTCAGTCCATCACAGGGAAGGGTTTTGAAGTTTTATAGTCTAGGCATACTTCCTGTTCTTTCTCTGTCTCCCAGAAATATGTTCACTCTGTTTCCTGACTGCTAAGCTGGCCCTCACGCTTCTCTGCCATACCTTCCTTGTCATAAATGGCTATACACGCTCTGGGACTCTAAGCCAAAATAAATCCTGAAGTTGCTTTTTGTTTCAGTATTCTATTGTAGCAACAGAAATGAAAAATAATTTTGAAAAACATCATTGAAGAATCAAAATATTTCACCAACAATGTTAAAGCTGTAAAGTAGTAACAGAGAACGATAAACAGAAAAACTAAAGATGACAGATACAGATCTAAATATAATAACAAAAAGGTAAATGGATCAATCTAATCAAAAATAAAGGTTGACAAAACAGATAAAAGGTAAGATCTCTAGCCGAGATAGTCATAGCACTCAGGCAGAGGCAGGCAGATCTCTGTGAGTTCAAGGCCAACATAGTGAGTTCAGGTCAGGTCAGTTGGGACTACAGGGAGACCGTCCTCAAAAAGAAAAAAAAAAAAAAAAAGGTAAGATCTAATTATATGCTGATTATATGCTGTTTACATGACAAACAGTTTTGACTCAGAGCTACAAATAAGTTGAAAACAACAGGAGGGCAAAAGACATCATGAAAACAGCAAGCATAAAAAGGTGGGAGTGCACAGAAATATTTCAGGCAAAAGTATTAAAAAAAGGTTACTAGACAGACAGTGAGACACAATGAAATCAGTGCCTATCTCCTGGGAAATACACCAGTTATAACTTAACATAATTCTAAAACATAAAACTCCACAAAAAAAACCTCAAAAAAATAAGATGATTTAATAATGGTAGTTGGAGAATTTAATATTATACTTTCAAAATGTAAGGAGTAGGCAGAATATCAACATAGAAACAGGAGGCTTGAATAGCAGTGTAAACCAAACTAGACCTAACAAACCTCTATAGTACACTAAACAATAGGAGTTTGTGCATTCTTTTCAAGTGAACATGGAATCATTTTAGGATAGCCCACATAAAAATATAAATACTTCATAATATCAAATGTTTTGGTGACACAAACACTAAAAACATTAATAGATATTTTGGTTGGTAGGAATATGGAAGACTTGGTTTTCTTGCTTATTTTCCTGAAATGAACATCTTACTTTTAGAAGAAAAAGTACTAATAAAAGTTTAACACATAAAAACATCCAATTTATATGTATATATTCACACACATATACATATACATATGTATTTGTGTATATGAAACGATTAGCAATGGAAAAGAATGAATTTAGAAATACAGGTAAATACAAGTTTTCATTTAAACTTGGTTCCACCCCAGTTCTGTCAACTCATCCACACTTAAACCCAGAATCCTACTTAAGGTGCTTCCCCTCCTTCTAGAGAAAAGTCTACTGCTTTCATCCTCTACCTCCTCCTCAGTAACCAAGGCTTCTTCCAAAACATCAGTTGCTCATGGGATAAGGTAAAGAGTCCAAACCCTCCTGAAATGGGATCAATGGAGTGAGGAGTAGGCACACCGAATTCCCACCCACACTTTACCAAGATCTTGAGTAGATAAGAAAAGGTTTTATGCCAGACTTGGGTTCCCACATTTTAAAAATTCATTCATTGACAAATATTCAAAATAGATTTTTAAAAAATGTGTAGGAGTGCTTTGCCTGAATGTATTTAAGTATATTATGTACGCCCAATGCCCTCAGAGTTCAGAAAAAGATGTTAGGTTCTCTAGAACTGGAGTTACAGATGGTTGTTAGCCGCCCTGTGGTTACTGGAAACTGAACCCAGGTCCTCTGCGAGAACAACCAGTGCTCTTAACCACTGAGCAATCCTTCCAGTCCCTTCAAAACAGATTTCAACTGGCAAACACCTGATAATCCTTACTTGAATAAAAAAGAACACTGAAAACCTTAAAACAAAAATAAAAAAATGAAAGGATTTCCTTTTCATAAAAGATAAATTTAATAACTGAAGTAGGGATGTAATTGCAGAAGATTTCTACTACATAGACTTTTTGTCTATTGTCTTTGAGTTTACATTTCATTGTGACAAGTCTGTCACCTACTGACACTGCTCTTGTGAAGTAATGTTTAGGAATCATTATTTTAGACTTCTCATGAAAAAGTGGTCTTTCTTGTAGTGTTTGTGTTGTACTTTGAAGAAAAATGCACCCTCCCCCCTCCCCGGATCCAGTATTTAGATATTTTGTCCCCAGCTGGCATCTGTTTGGGGAGGTTTTAGGAGGTGTGGCCTTGTTGGAGGAAGCATGACCCTGCAGGTAGGTTTTGAGAGTTCTTAAGCCTTGCCAGATTTCCAGTCACTCTTTGTTTCTTGTGCCTGCTTAAAGATGTGATTGTTCAGCTTTCTGCTCTGGCCACCACCTGCTACCATGCCTCCCTGCCATTATGGCTCTCCCCTGGAATGCAAGCCAAATAAACTCTTCCTTCTTTAAGTTGGCTTGGTCATGGTGTTTTATCACAGCAACAGAAAAGTAACTAATACAGAAGTTGGTACCAGGAAGAGTGGTGTTGCCATGAAGAACCTGACCATGTGGATTTTTGGAGGATTTGGAAGTTTGGACTAGAAAAGCGGTTATATGCTGTAAGCAGAGCTTAATGGACCTTTCTAGTAGGAACCTGGAAGAAAGCAGTGCTTGAGAGCAAGATAGTTCCAGAAGGAAATAAGGGCTTAAACAGTAAATGAGATGTTTTGACAAAGCATCTAGTTGCCATATGACCACAGCCTGAAAGCTTGCCTGAGGCTAAGTTGAAAAGTAATGGACTAATTTCCCTGGCAAAGGAAATTTCAAGTTAGCCTAATGTAGAAAGGTGGTTTGACTATTAATGGTGAGTATTATGCACATCTACAATGAAAAAAAGCAAGTGGAGCAGAAAGAAATGCAGAATGTAGTTTAGGTCGAAAAAGAGCACTGCGAAGATTAACCTTGGAGCCAAGACTTGTGCTGAAGGAGAAGCTCTCCTTGATTAGGAGATTAAAGTCATTAAGGAAAGGCCTACAAATTTTCACTTAAACAATGGAAAGATTTTTGCCTCAGGGAAAGACTCCACCTAGCTAAGCTTCCTTGTTAAATGAAAAAGACTAAATTTTCTCCTAGAAAAAAAGCAATCCACAAAAGCTGCTGATAATGTGGATGAAGATGGCCAGGATCCATCCCAAACTGGCAGCCAAATTTGGCAATTGTTCATGTGGTGCTGGCTTTAGAGGCATGAAAGATGCAAGACTGAAGTGGTCGTGGGTTCTTTCTTCTCAGTATCAGAGAGCCACTGAGATTAGGCAGTGATGCAGCAGGGGCATCTCTGCATAAAGAAGGCCTTGACAGGCCATTGCATGAAGCTGTGAAGATGAAGCATAGTTGGCAGTGGAGTCCCTAAGATGTTGGGAGATGCTAGAGCCCTCCCTGACACATCTGCCAGGGAGAGCAGCATATAGGGATGTTACCAGCCCAAGAGAGAGATGTATACTGTGAGCAGCAAAGCTGGAGGGGCTGAGCCATCTAAGCCCTTTGGAAGTGAAGTCCCAGAAGTTGGACACAGAGCTACTGGATTTGGTGTTTGCCTTGACGGTTTTTGGTCTGGTTTTGGTCCAGTATTTCCTCAGATGTCCCTATTCCTCCCTTTGGAATAGGAATGTGTATTCAGTTCCATTGTATGTTGGAAGCATGTAATTTCTCTTATGATTTTACAGGGACTTACAGTTAAGAGACTGACTTGAGTCTCCTAAGGAATTTGGACTCTGACTTTTGAATAGTATTGAGACTGGTAAAGACTACAAAAGTTTTGAAGGTGGACTAAATGCATTTTGCTTTTTATATGATAATGACTCCATGGGGACCAGGGAGTAGAATGTGGTGGTCTGAAGAAGAATGTCTCCTATGGATTCCAAATATTTGAACATTTTGTCCCCAGTTAGTGGTGCTGTTTGGGGAAGTCTTAGGAGATGCATCCTTGCTGAAGGAAGCATGTCACTGGGGTATGCAAGTCTTGCCAGATTTCTAGTTACCCTATGCTTCTTGTGCCTGCTTGAAGATGTGATCTCTGTTTTCTGCTCTGGTCACCCCTCTGCCATGCCTCCTCTGCCATTATGAACTTTAATCCTGCTGGAATCACAAGCCAAATAAACTCCTTCTTCTATAAGCTGCCTTGGTCATGGTGTTTTCTAATCACAGCAATAGAAAGTAGCTAATACAGTGTATCAAATGAAATGTTTTATTTTAACCATTTATATTTGAAAGTTAATGATAAAACATTACATTTCCCTGATTTTTATATGCCATTTATGTTTACATTTATTTATTCATCAACTTGAATGAAGTCCTTCTATGTTGCTTTTAGAAGGCTTTAATCCTCTGGGTTCAAGCTATCCTTTTTTGGACTTCGGATGTGGTTAAGTTTAATTCTGATAACTTTACAGTATGTATTCAAGTGTAACATATAGTTTTATTCTACTATTAATGTTAATAGTTTAAAGAATAATTAATAAACCAAACACAATTTCATTGTCTCTTGATAACTTTTTTCTCATTCTCATGGACATTATGAATTATGCAGTAAATAAGGTTTTGCTTTTCAAACTGGCCATTAGAAATTTTAGGACCAGAAGGGCTGAAGAGATGGCTCAGAGATTGGGAGCACTGGTTGCTCTTGCACAGTACCCAGCTGGGGTCCCAACACCCACATGGCAGCTAACAATTATCTGTAACTCCAGTTCAAGGAGAATCAATGTCCTCTTCCAGTCTCTGCAGGCACTGCCTGGACATGGTGCACTCACATGCAGGCAAAACATTTATACACACAAAATAGAAATTAGTTAATTTTAGGGGCAGTGAGGCTACATTGTAGCCTAATCTTTATGAACATATTTTTATTCATTGAATGTATTTTTAGCCTCATAATTTATTATTTTAATTTTGTTTTACTTTACACTTCAGTTTGACATGCTGTTTTAGTTGCTTTTTGTTTATTAGCATGTACTCTATCTCTTTTGGAATAAGCAGGGTATTAATTAGAGAGACTGTCTTATCAATAACTTTCAAACACAAATGGTTAAGCAACAAAAAACTGTTGTTTCCTGCTGTATTTGAAGTACTGACAAATACTACATGCAAAAGCCACTTTTCTAGAAGTTGAGACAAAGTATGGCAGGAGGTGTGAGGCAGGAGGTAAGGGGATAGGCTACCAATCAGTACGGGGGTTGAATCTAATCAATCATACCCTTCTAAACTATACTCACCTCTGCTTGCCCCAAATCATTTTTCATCTGCTGACATTCACACTCAGTCAGTTTCTGGTTTTGATCTTGGCATACTTCATGAACATTGTTTCAGTCTCTGTATCAACATGGCCCTTCTAGAAATTAAGAAGAAACAGATAAGCTCATTAGTATACATGGTCTAACCTAAGCACAGAGACAACAAAATGTAGGAAGGAGAAACTGATGGAGGCCAGTTCTTCTCTCATAGTATGTTCTAGAAAGACATCAGAGTGAATAAAATGGTTTCTATACAGTATTTGGGTCAGAAACACCTGTTACCAAGAATTTATCTTTAGAAATAGGAACTTCCTAGAGCCACAGGAATTATGACATACTTTGTAAGAACATGATCAATTTTATCAGAGTTTAACTGCCTCCTCCTTGGTGCAGGCCCTCTCAAATGTCATGGTACAAATATATGTTTTCAGTTTTAGTTTATCCAAGGCATTCTTGGTAGCCCTACTGAGAAAAACAGACTTGCTTAGTTTATTCTCTTTTTGCATTTGCTTTATCTTCTACAGATATCATTCCTGTCTGCTCTATAATATACAGGACTACCAAGAATTCTGAGTCATGCACTGCTTATTTTTCATATTATCTTACTGTAAAGAACTTCCTTATATATGGCAAATATGCTTAAGCAAATAGTAAAACATGGATGAAGATTTTTAAGTAACAGACTAGAGCCAGGAATGGGGGTGTAGCTCAGTGGTAGAGTGCTTTCTGCGCACTTGTGATGCCCTAGGTTGACCACAAGCACTGAAGAGAAAAAAACAAAGAAACAAAAAGATGGCTTTACATGGTAGGGCAGGACTGTAGCAGTGACCCTGAAGGTTGTAATTCTGCAAAGTAAATTGAGTATCAAGATGGGTAAGTCCTTCTTTAATAAATAAAAGAGGGTACTTAAGAGAGTTAAGACAACTGTTCAATATACTTGCATGCAGCAACTGCTGCCTCTTGTCAGTTTTATTAAAGGATACCTAATATTCAGAGAATACCATCTAATGAACCAGGGATATTAGTCTCACTTTTGGTGATGTAACACGGTATTACTGAAAATATTACCATTCAGTCTTTTATAAAGGTTCTTTCCAAAATTTACTGACTATGGAAACAATGCTGGTGTTTTTAAAAAGATCATTTTTCCGTGTAAAGCAAGTCTTTAATGTTACTGTTTACATGAAAAACAGCCTGAATTAAGCTAGGAAGTCTAATGAAAATCTTAATGTAAAACATTATGTTAAGTCTTAATTTAAACAAATCGAGAGTCAAAGTTATTTTTAAAAGTGATTTTGAGGGGCTGGAGAGATGGATCAGGGGTTCAGAGCACTGAATGCTCTTGCAGAGGACCCGGGTTCGATTCCCAGCACCCACATGGTGGCTCCAAACTGTCCTTAACTCCAGTTCCAGGGGAATCCAAAGCCTTCTTCTGACCTCCGCAGCACTGTACGACACTGGTGCACTCACATACATGCAGGCAATACACTCATACACATAAAATATTTTTAAAAAGTGATTTTGAAAATAATTTTTTCATCATTAGATTTAAACTTAACATATGCATATTCTTTGCAAGGTGTTTTTAGATGTGTGAAATATGAACTGAGTAAGTTAAAACAGATGTAACAATTCATTTAGATACTACTCTTGATACCCTGGCTCTAGCTTGCTTGTCAGTTCAAAGAAATAAAGGATGGAAGAGAAAGGGAATGGAGAAGCACAAAGTCATGCTATAAGTAACTATAAAAGTGTTAACATTTTGTTTAAAAAACAGGAAGCATGTTATACTATTGAAGTAAACCATCATTACCTTTATAAATTTGGACCTGTCCTTTTTTAAACATTGAATAGACACATATTTATTTGGCTAAATGAAAGACCATGGAAAAGACACATGATTAAGGCTCAAAGATGAGTCAATGAAAACTAAAATTATGTTTTTTAAAAATCAACATTTCTTTTCTTTCTTGGTTTTTATTTGAAAGATAGCATATTGAGTATGAGAGCAAAGGAAGATAGTGATTTATAAGCAGAGTGTATATACTGAAAGGATAAAGAACTCAAAGACATTAAAGTGGTCCTGAAACTCAATTAGCTTTCTCAACCCCTGTGAAGCTCTGATATTACCCTAAAAGGATTATGGATTTGGGTGGAGACATATAGTCAAAACAAAAGAAGAAAACACACCAAAGAGCGGTAAGTGGTAGATGTAACATTACTTCAGGATTATTTCACAGCTATACAAAGCTACCAATTAACAGAAAATTACTGATCTCTTTGAAAAAGTCTTGCTACTTTTATTATCATTGATGCCTTCTGTAATAATAAAATGCACTCGTGCTATAAGTTACTTCCATCTGCTAAACATCAAATGTGATTATGATATGATTTATACAGTAATCAGCTCTAAGAATCCAATATATAATTGGTAAAGCTAAATCTTCACAAGGTCACCTTAGGTCTAGGTCTGAGGTTAAAAATCTCTTTAAAATGATTTCTGAAGGATGGCCAGAATTTTATGTATTCAGAGATTTAATAGTCTCACATTTATTCAAAATGAGGCCCAATGAGCCAAAATGATGCTGTTGCCAATGCTGGGTCTTACTGAATCATTTCCATTCCTAACTTCTAATAGACACCAATATTAATTAAGGATTCCCCCACCCCCAAACTTCTACTGTCTTGAGCCATAATGACCCTCTCCTCTCCTAAGTGCTAGCTGCTTTATAAATGGCACAGAAATCTGATAACCACTGTTGTTTGTTTTTAGTATAATTGGAAACACTGGCAAAAGACTAAAAACTTCCTGTACTACTCTTAAGTTTCTCTTAAAATAATAGAAATACCTTTTCTTTCTCTCATTAAATAGGTTGAAGTTAAAATTATATGGAAATAATATTCAACAGAAATAAAAATATTAAGCTAATGACCTTTTTATAATGGCTCGGATGAACCATGGCTAAGCATTCTACCACTGAGATTTTAAAAGTTCCCTCCCACTTGCAGAGCTGGTGAGACGGCACAGAAAGATGGCTCAGCAAGTAAATGCACTTGCTGCTAATTTTGACAATTTGAGTTCCATAATCATAAACCATGTGGTGGAAAGAGAAGGCTGACTCCTCTTTCACGAACACACGCACACTTAAAAATGTAAATAACAATTTAAAAATAAAAGCTCTCACCGTCACTGGTGTTCAGATTGAACAGTGTTGGCTTTCTATGGCTGTTCCATTACATCTCAGTGAGAGCTGCCTTTTGGGTGTTTATAAAACAGGGTCTCATGCATTCCAGGCCGGCCTTGAACGTGCTATATAACAGAAGGTGACTTTGAAATTGTACTCCTCCTGTCTCTACTTTCTAAGTGCTAGTATTAACAGGTATGCACCAACCACACCTGGCTTATGGGCTATTTCCTAAGCATAAGCACTTCAGAATTTTTTATCTTCTTGGGTGGGGCAGTGTTTGTGAAACAATTCTTACTGTAAGTAATGATTTTTAACACATGGTGGTCAAATAACCACAAACATTTCTTTATTGTTGAGAAGGCATTAACTATTCTGATAAAATGTACTTTTTTATATCATAAATACTTACATGTATTCTTGGAAAGTACTGACGTCATCCATTTGAGTGTAAAAGATGAGCTATGCTAACTGAGTATATGCCAAGAAAATAATGAAGAACATAATGGCAAATCCAGAGAGGTCTATTGGTGAGAGCTGACTTATGGTTCTGCTAACACTAATGAATCTGAAGAGCTGTAAGAGAGAGGTACAATTATTAGCAGATGAAAGGATAATAGGATCTAAATGTACACTTGAATATTATCCTATCATAACAGGAATGGATGTGACATCTGAAAACATTATGCTAAGTGATATTCATCCATCCATATATATCACATATATAAATCACACACATACACACACACACACACACACACACAAACATGCACACACATACACATACACACACCACAAAAATGCCAAATGCTGCATGATTTTATAGAAGCATTTAAAATAATAAAATTCAGACACAGTAAAGACTAACTTATTTTTCCCTCTTACACAATTTATTAACTTCTATCCTCTCGTTCAGAAAGTATTTTTTGACTACCTACCCTTGTAAGGCACTGTTCTCAGAATCTCAGTTCTCTGTAAATTTCCTTCTGGCTTCCCCCAGGAAAGAGGTGATGATCTGTTTAGCCTACATTTCCAGGTAGAGCATCTGTCCCTTTCCTTTAACCCCCATTTTTTTTTTTTTTTTTTTTCTTTTCTTCT